AGACGTGGTCCCCGGCCCCCAGGGCAGCCTTGTCTCCGCCGCGTGCTGGCCTACCGGAGGAGCAGAGGCTGGAGTCAGCGTCCGGGTGACAGCAGCCAGAGTGGGCAGCCGGCCCGAACCTCCACAGGGGTCCCCGAGCTCCCACTCAGGCCGCCCCGAGAGGGCCGGTGCAGGGATCGCCCCCTCCGCCGGGGTCCCGCGGCCCAGGAACCCCCGGAAATCAGGCTGTGGGGTGTTGCTGTGGCCTGCCCGCCGGCCACAGCCCCGCACCCACTCACCTGTGTGTCCAGGGGCCGTCTGGCGGCTGGGTTGGGCTGCCTGCGTCACCGGGGACTGGCAGAGCAGGGAGGGAGAGCACGGTCAACACGAGTCGGCCACAAACCAGACCACTTCACCCGGCAGTGGGGACGGCGAAGGGACAGAACAGAGCAGCGTGGCATTGCACGCAGGCCATGTGAGCCCTGAAATCTGGTGGAAGCCCGGCCCCGTGTGGCGTGGAGACGGGCCTTTAAGGAGGGGGCGAAGGAAAAATGGGGTCCGAAGGATGGCCGTGATCCCCGGGGACTGGGTCCTCATGAGGAGAGGTGCAGTCACGGACACGCAGAGAAGGGCCACGCGGGACCCGGGGAGGGGGACGGCACCCGCCGCCGGGGAGCGGGGCCTCTGGCGGAGGCAGCCCCGGCACCTCGAGCTCCACGTCTGCCCCCAGGGGCGAGCGTGAGCCTGGGGCAGGGCTGCCGTCTGCTGCTGTGCCACAGCCGAGCCGGCTCCAGGGACGCCTCTGCCGGAGTCCCGAAGCCCCGGCCGGTGACTGACGTTCACAGCAGAGCGGCCGTGTCCTGCAGGGTGTGGCGTGAGCATCTCACGGCCCCCGTAGAATCAGATCGACATGCACGAAAGCCCCCGCTGGAGGTCGGATGGAAGGGGCCAGGCTCGGCGCGGAGGGAGCCAGGGGCCTGTGGCCTCCTCCAGCCACAGCGCCGGGATGGTGACTGGAGAGAAGCAGGTGGAGCCCAGGGCCGCGGGGAAGGAGCGGGCAAGGCTTGCTGCAGGTGCAGGGGGCAGAGAGGAAGAAAGTGGCTTCCAGAATGTGGCACCTGCTGCATCGGGGGCTCCTCGCTGGGGCGAGGATGAGGGAGACCGACGTGGGGCCCCCAGGAAGCTGCGGCGCTGACAGGACGACGAAGCGGCTCCATGCAAACGTGGCCCTGCCGGCAAAGCGCTGGGCCCAGAGTTGCGCCCAGGGAGAGCCACGGGTCCCGAGAAGAGGACTGGGAGGCCGGCACCCATTCCCAGAGACGTTGGCGTCTGGGCGGAGGGAAAGCAGGTGGCCGGGGAGATGGGTGTGGCCGGCCTGTCCCTGCAGCGCAGGAGGGTGGGGTCGGAGTGTGGCTGGTCGCCGGGAACATTCTGTCCTCGCGTCGACTGAAAGCACAGGCGGGGCCATCACACAGCCTGCAGCTGGAGACACCGAAGTTGGGCGAAGGCGGCGTGGAGACGAGGACCCCCGAGGCGGAGCCGGGAGACCCAGGCAGCGAGGGTCAGCAGTCGGGAGGGCGAGGCGAGCAGAACAAGCTGGAGGTGACCCAGAGGCAGCGACCCAGAGAAAATGTGACAGGAGGCTAGCAACCGGAAGGCCAACAGACGTGGCTCGGAGCCTCCGTCCTGCTGGCCATCAACTGCGCGGAGACGCAGCAAAGAAAGCAGGAGGGAAATAACACGGGAGTCACCGAGAAGACCAGTGAGATGGCCAAGACACCCCCCTCGGGACCTGCGTCACCGGGGCGGGAGGCTCTCGGGCCACCAGCATGTGGGAGGCTGTCTGGGCCCAGGCATTGGCATGACTTCTTCCCAGTAATGCCGGGAGCCAGGGGGCTGGCATCCTTCAGAACCAGGGTGCGAGGGTATGGAGAGCTCACAGCTGATGCGCTGGAAACCAGTACGCACAGGCAGAGGAGGCCGGGGACACAGCGAGGCGCGAGGGCCAGGGGCTGAGGTGGGATCCCGTGAGTGAGGGCAGCAGACGGGGGCCAGCAGGGGAGGGTGGGCCAGAGCCCCGGGGGAGCAGGATCAACCCGCGTCCGGGTGGAGAAGGTCACACCGGAGCCGAGCTGCGTCCAGGATCTGAGCCCCTCGAGAGTGACCCAGACACGCACGATGAAGGCGGTCGCCACAGTCTGCTCACCGCACTGGAGGAGAGGCCCGTGGGAGGCTGTTGGGCGGGACTGGCTCCTTGTGCTCAGGGGGGGAGGCTGGATAGTGTTGTGGACAAATAAGAAGTGGCAACAAGCCGGGCTCGGTGGCTCAGCCTGTAATCCCAGCGCTCTGGGAGGCCGAGGTGAGTGGATGGCCTGAGCCC